CCATGCCCTTCTATTTTTTTTCCTACTATAAACAAACTTATTGGAGGTGACTGGAATTTCTAAAACGAAAGAACCTCTCCTTGAACTAACCGTGGGATTAACTTTGAATAAATCTCGAAAAAGAGGGATAGGTTGCCTGCCCTTTACAGTTTTGAAACATTCTATTAAATCCGCGACCAAGCGGCGGTGTCTAAGAGACTTAAGATCAAAAATTTTGAGTCTATCTGTGTAATTAAAGTATGCAAATTTGAAAAAATCTATTCTCCATGGAGCTATCTTAGTATATCTCTGCTGAATTTTTTCTAGGCGAGAGATATCAACTTGTGTATGTGGAGACCAAACTATAGATGCATACTCTAGAATGGGTCTAACGTAAGTGATGAAACACTTTCTGTAAGTGTCAATTTTCGGATAACAAAATGCTTTTAGGATACGACTAGAGACAGAAGAAGCTTTACGGCAAATAATTTCAATGTGTTTTGAGAAATTTAAAGGTGGGGAAATATGGACTCCAAGATATAATCCTCTTTGCCAATTCTGTTTAATGGTGTAGAATTAATTTTCAGCGGGAAAATAGCATTTGCGGTGGAGAAATGACGGGATTTCGTAGACGCTAAAGCTAATTTCCAATTATGGGACCATTTTTCAACCAGATCAAGACCTGACATAGCGTCTCTTAAAGAAGAAAGCTTAGCGGCTTCATCTTTGATGGGGATTTTAAAGGTTAGTTTAGCGTCATCAGTATAAAGCCAGATAGATGAGTCCCTAGATAAAAAATTTAATTCAGCTAAATCATTAATGTAAATTGTAATGTAATATTAATGTAATGCATGTAGTTTGTGAATTAAGAATTTAATAGGGACAGAGTTGAAAGCTTTAGCAAATTCTAAAAACACAGCTTCAAGCTGATAGTGCTTGCGTTGTTTTTGATCCACGGCCTTAAAGAAATCTTGGTAAGCTAAAATAAGCTGGTAAGTGGTGGACTTATTTTTAAGGAAACCAAATTGATAGTCGGAGATAAGTTAATGCTTATCAAGATGAATGTAATTTTATCTTTGATAATAATTTCAAAAAGCTTTGATACAGGGGAGGTTAAAGATGGGACGATAGTTACTGAAAAGGTTTTAGGAGATTTTTTGAGAAGGGGAATAACTAAAGATTGTTTCCAAAAAGAGGGGACATCAGAAATGAGAAGAATTTTGTTGAAAAGTTTTAAAAGAGGGTAGGTAAGCACTCTAGAAAGTCTCTTAATAGCAAAAGCTGAGAGGTTATCTGGACTAGACGACTTTTTAGGCCGTAATTTAGAAAAAGCTTTCTCAATGTCCGCTACACATATTAAGAAATCTGGCTGCACGTCAATTTGCTTTACCGGAAAGGCCGGACACTGTTCGTTTTTATCTGTAACCGTATATACACTTTTTTTGGCATTTGGCATTTTTGGCACAAAGAATTTGGCAAACTCAGTGACGATTGTACTGGGATTGGAAATAAGTTTAGTACTGTCTAAGGGGTCAACGAAAGAATTGGAGACTATCTTTCGATCTTTTGTTTTAGAGCTTAAATAGGAGAAGAAAGACTTGCTGTTTTTCGAATAAACAGCTTTCATTTCAATGTTTGACTCAAACTTTTGACAAAATCTCGAGAGCTTGCGCTGTTCTTTGATTACTAGTGGGTCAACCAGAGGATTTGCGTAATTAGATCTTTCGAAAAAATGTAGAAGTCTTGCTTTAGCTCTCGTAATATGATTTAGGGCTAATTTTACAGGGTGAGTGCAGGAATTTTCTATGGCAAGGAGGATTTTAGAACAGAGAAAATTATAGTCATCATCTATAGAATTTGTCCTAGAGCAGAAAGAGTTCCCTCTAAGGGAGTTTAAGAAGGAAAGAGCCGCTTGGTCGGGATTAAAATCAAAAAGCACGCAACCTTTCCGCGGAGGAGTCGAAAATTGTAGTCCTCCAATTTTGAACGTGATCCCATAATGGTCAGATGCAGGAAGAGGCTCCAATCGCTTCAACTCCATGATGATATCAGGGGAATCAGACAAGACCAGATCTAAAATAGAGAATGAACGGCAGAAGGTAGCAAATGTGTTTAAAATAAATAGAGAGCATGTAATAAGGAAACTTTGTAGCAAAATGGTGGGATGGTGGTACTTATCAAACACAAATTTGTCATTAGAATAGGTCACATGAAAATTTAAATCGCCTAGTAAAATGTGGCCTCCCGAATCATGCAAGAAAAGTGATAAATGATCAAAAAGACGAGAAGTATCAGCATTCACGCTAGGGGCCGATAAACGACAAGAAAACGAACCTTTCTGCCAAGATAAACATCTACAATTATAATTTCACAGTTAAAGATGGAACTGCAGTAAATTACATGGTGGATAAAAGACTTAAGGAGCAAAAACACAACACCGCCACCATGCGAATTAGTGGAAGAAGCTCTATCACATCTAATAATATGGTAAGAGTCACTAGGGTCAAGAATAGAGGAAACTAGAGAGTCGTCTAGCCATTTCTCGGTAATAGCAAGAAACGAATAAGATTTTGTACGAGTCATGGTCTGGAAAGTAGCTAAGCGATTTTTGCTATTAGAAACTATGCTATGGGCATTGGCAAGAAAAACACTAGGGGAAAAGCGAGCATCAAACTTGGGAAAGCGATCCTGTGTAGAGACTGGTTGACTTTGTTGCTTGAGGAGTTTCTTTCCAATCCTCCGTCCCGATGTGTGAGTGAAAAAGGCACCCTCATTGTTTTCCCTTTCATTTCGAAAATTCTTTGCTAATGGTTCGCTCACATTCGACAAGGAGTGTGCTTTGCGAAAGCGCAACCCAGGCGGGTCACTCTTCGTAGAGTTAGTCCTCTTTGGAGGTCGGCCCTTCTTGACTGGAGGCTTTTTTGTAGAGGCTGTCGGCATGCTTTCCTTTGTCGTATCCTTTTGCGCAGCCATGCCAAGAGTCGTTTCGGAAGCAGTCACATTGACACCAGCCACATGCAGGGCTCCAACCTGGTCCTGAGGTACACTCCTTGTCGTATTCACGTCGAGGTGTGGAAGGGGGTCATGTTCAGTTGAAGGAAATGTCTCCTGCCTCTTGGCCTTGTAGCGACTTGGGTCCGAGCGTCAAATCACAATGAGCCGAGCGTACCAGGGCAGAGAATCCTTCTTAACACGATAAAACCCAGTAAGTTCGACACACCGTGTGTAGAGCCAAAAATCACCTTCAGAGGCCTAGGTTGAAACGGAGAGAAGATACCCATCCTATATGATTGGACCACCATTGAATCCAGACCATACGAAGCCAAAATCGCAACCAAAAGGTGAAGATCCGCTGTTCTTCTAGTAAACGGCACCATGGCGGGATGGACGTCAGCTTCAGGATTCTCTGCCCAGGTGGTAATCGGTTTCTCGGAAATGATCACCAGGTGGTAATCGTTTCCGAGTTTCTTCGCGAGATCAACATCCTCGAAGAGCGGGGGCAGCTTCATTGTTCCAATTGGCGGAGGTGGGTGGTATGGATGGTGTACAAGCTTCCTCATCAGCATACTTCTCAGGGCGCTTCAGATCGGTAGATGTAGAAGTAGAGTTACAGTATCTCGCAACAACCTCAAACTTGGGTAATTAAACCTGGGTAAAAAAATTAAAACTTGGGTAATTATGATCTAAAAAAGAGAATTTCATAATTGAAATAAATTATAAAAGATAATGTAAGATTAAAAGTTAAACAAGATGATAGGTATGTGAAAAAGTTTTAAAATAAGACAAAATAGCAGATTATCAAACAGGTATTCAGCCAGTTGACGGAAAATTCAAATTTTCTATGCAAATTGCAATTGTTTTATATACAAAAATACAAATTTTATTGAATTCCATTCTATCTTTTTCCTACCCCCTCCAGGGTGTCCTTCAATTACAGGATTTACGGTAACCTACCTTTTATTGCTCAATCTAGACAAATGTTGGCTTGACTCAAAGGAACAAGTGAGAAAAACAGCACTGGACATAGCTCTCGACCACAAAAAAGAGTGAGACGAAATTTGTCCTTGCTTTCAAAGTCATTTCAGAGAAGTCGCAAAAATTCTTCTAGCTTCTCAATATGATTGGAAATCTCTATTGCGACGTCGGCGTCGGAAAGAGACGGATGAAAGAGAGGATGAAAAAGACGCTCCACTTGAGACTCCGATGCGGCGAATGATCCAAAATTGCCCAAAATTAGCCAGACAAGTGATGGATTTGTGTAAACAAATGTAAGTGGAAAAACTTTGTTGTTTAACTGTGTAGTTTGTAGGATAGATGAAAAAGACGTTATCTACTACAACTTTGAATTCATCGATGATACTTTTATGATGCCGATGAAGCAGAACGACAAAGGTTTCTAAAACGTGTCAACTTTCCAAAAACCATCGTAATCTTCCTTTCATTCATTGGTTTGAATTAATGGGAGCTCACAAAAGATTACGTTCACTAAATTGTATTACGAAAAATACAAAATTAGAACAGTTTACGGTACTTTTCGAAAGAACGAAAGAAAAAAAGAACGTTTTAGTAAGTAAGAATGTCTTTTAGATTATTTGGGGCTGGGAAACAAAGAGGAAGAAATACCATATAATAAAGATGGAAGTGTGAAGGAAGCTGCACAGCCTTACAGTCAGAATCGGATTCAAATATACAAGGAGCATCCACTAATGCTCATGGTGAGTGAGAATGGAATCATAAGTCAAAGAAAAACATCAGTTTTATTAATTTTAACTCTAGATTAAATCGGAGAATGAAGATTCAAGGAAACTACTCGATCATGATCTCGTCAAAACGATGCTCAATTATCGCTGGAAGACGTTTGGAAGATTTGGCTATTTTTGGCTTTGTGAGTGAATTTTTTTTGTTCCCAGTATGTGCCAACTTCAGCTTTTTTTCCTTATGCGGCATTTTTATTCTTCTTCACCTTAATGATCATCAATATTGATCGAAAAAAACCAAAAATCAATGAAAAAACTCGAGCGATTGAAATCGAGAGCGTGCACGTGAATGTCACATTTCGAGATGCTACAGAGATAACGCAGGTAACAATCTAAAGTGTGACGTCTAACCGGAAATCCCGGGACAAAGTTTTCTCAGCTCAGTGAAATAGTCTTTCCATGAGCCTAATGAAATAGCTTTCTACACCTGTAGACTAACATTCACCGAGCTTTTAAAGTGTGACTGCTTGTCGCTCGATTTCCTTGTCGTCTTGTATCTACTGGTACAAATCATTGGCCAAAACATTATTGTTGAAAAATATACCTTTTCAGGAAGTTGCAAATAATATCATCATTGATTGTGTGGCAATTGCATTTGCTTCAATCTTGCTCATCTTTTTGCTCGTAAAAGAAGTAAGTTAAGGCAGCGAGCTGAGACTTTATGGTTTAAATTTCAATTTTCAATTTTCAAAAATTTAGTGGTATCAATTCCGACAACTCACCCGCAAAGCCTACATAAGTTGTAAGTCATTATGACGCCAGATTTGCTACTGGCGAACTTTTTTCGAACACTGACGCTACCGTAACCCTCCTTCAAGTGACTAGGCTACCGCAACCAAACCCAAATCCTAATACTATAAGTTTGAAAATTTGAGGATCGAGGATTTGAGGATTTGAGGAATTTTCTGCAACGGTAAAGCGGTAAACTAACCAGTTGGGTTAAGGTTACGGTAGCCTAGGCACTTGAATGAGGGTTACGGTAGTGTCGTTGTTCGAAAAAAGTTTGGAAGTGATTTTTGAATTCCCTCAAAATGTTCAAAAGCTGCGGTCCTCAAGAAAAAAACTTGACGTCCAGACGTTCGCTTGGGATGTTTTTGACTCATTTTGTTGATTTTAGGGGAAAATTGGGGCAATCTCGGTGAATTGTTTGTCTATTTCTTGTCGGTGGGCACGATTTTGTGGAGGACTTCAGCGGTAATCTCAAGCTTTCACACTTTCTAAGAGATTTACGTTTACACGTGTATGGTTTAGCTTTGCTCAAAAGATGATCTCAGCGACGGATTTTGGATCTTGGCGTCCTTCGTTTTTGCCATCTCTTGGTTCAATCTGGTACCGGAATATACAGTTTTCTAATGACTTTTCTTTAGCTAATGCTATTGAGCAAATGGAAATATTTGGGACTTTTCATTGTGATGTTCAAAAAAGTTGGGATATCATTTGTGAAACTCGCGGCAACGTTTATTCTCTTCATCATGGCTTTTTCTTTCAGCTTCATGATGTTAATCCATAAAAAGGTTGAAGTATGTGTATTTTCGATGAAAATCGAAATTTAGGAGGAGTTTTCTCAATGGGATTATTCATTTTTCAAGACTTTTATGATGTCCACTGGGGAAATTGATTACTCGGATATATTTTTCGATGAGACGGATCATTTTGAAAAGTTTGTTTGTTGTTCAAATCTGAATCCTTCTCAAAATTTTGTCCATTATCGAAAAAAATTTCAGCAGACCCGGTACCAAGTACTTCACAATGGTGATTTTCTTCGTTTTCGTCTTCGTCATTGTCATTCTTGTGCACAATCTTTTCACTGGTGTTGCAGTTGGGAACATTGAAGATATCATGAAAGAAGCAAAACTTGAAGAGCTTGCCATTGAGGTAAATTATCCTAAGAATAGGTAATTGGGAAGTTCAGGCTGATTGCCTTTTGATGCAAGCGACGTTGAGTAAAAACATCATGAAAAGCCAAAAATATCGTCATTGCGTGAGTGTAAATCGCGAGGATTGGACATTCAAATCGGAAATTGTCTCATTTTGGAAACTTCACTGGGAAGCGTAGGTTCTTTGTATCGTAAACGAAAAAAGTTGTAAGTAAGACTAACAAAGTTTGATGTATTCATTTATTTGTTAGGGTTGGTACTTACTTTGGCCGGGATTTATCTTGTTGTTCTTGTTGTTCTTGCTGTTCTGGAAGCAATGAAAATCAAACGGTTTGTTGTAGAGGTGAAAAGGTAAAATTTTTTCCGCAGGAGGCTGATCGAAGACATCAACTACCTGATGATGATAAAGAAAGGCGGAAAAAGGAAGCGAACCAACTCAAGAAGTTACAGGTGCACAAATTTCAAAAAGCAGAAAAAAATTATGATTTTAGGAAGATAACTTCTTTTTGGAGGATCCAATAAAGAAACACGTGATGAACAACGAAAAAATGACTCTTGATTTGCAAAAAGAAGTGGTGAGTAAGATTGGATACATTTTAAAACAATGCGAACGTTTTAGAAAGAGTTGAAAACCGAACTGACAAACCAGAAAGAGCAAATGGCCATTCAAAATAAGAAGACAGGAGATCAATTCACTTTGATTGTAATCGTTTTACAGATTCGAATAATTAACAAAATTTAGATCGATATGCTGATAACGCAGCAAAAGCAAATGGCTGATGAAAGTCAAAAATTTGAGGACCAAATCAACAAGCTTGTAATCATTTTTGCAAGTTTGAATGATTGAAAAAGATTTTTAGATGAAGAAACCTCAAGAGTCTCATGAACCCGGGAAGCCTGATAGTGAGGATGAGAAAGAAAATAACAATCAGGCTGTAGAAAGTGTAATGTTACCCGGAATGTTCGAGGTAGGTGTGATGTACAATGAAACCCATTAATAAATTACGGCATCGATTCTCAGGCAAAATTTTAGGAACCAAATCAATAAGCTTGTAATCATTTGCAAGTTTGAATGATTGAAAAGATTTTTAGATGAAGAAACCTCAAGAGTCTCATGAACCCGGGAAGCCTGATAGTGAGGATGAGGTCGAGGAGGAGAAAGAAAACAGCAATCAGGCTGTAGAAAGTGTAACGTTACCCGGAATGTTTGACGATGATTTATTCGAGGTAGGTGTGATGTACAATGGAACCCATTAATAAATTACGGCATCGATTCTCAGGCAAAATTTTAGGAACCAAATCAATAAGCTTGTAATCATTTGCAAGTTTGAATGATTGAAAAAGAATTTTAGATGAAGGAACCTCAAGAGTCTCATGAACCCGGGAAGCCTGATAGTGAGGATGAGGTCGAGGAGGAGAAAGAAAAGCATTTCTACAGCAATCAGGCTGTAGAAAGTAGAATAAACGAGTTTCCCGGCATGTACGAGGTAGGTGTGATGTACAATGAAACCCATTAATAAATTAGGGCATCGATTCTCAGGCAAAATTTTAGGAACCAAATGATGATCTGGTTCATTCTCGAGTCGGTGATTCTGGAGCGACATGGAAAAGAGAAGCGTTAGAAGCAACAACTGATGATCAGAAACAATTTGCAAAATTTGATTTGGCTAATGACACTATCAGCTATTTTTTTTCCTAAATCCAAGCCTGAACCCAACCCTGAGCCCGTTGACTATTCATCAGTGCGCAATTATTTATGGGAAAATGATTTTTCGGCTGTTTTTAACCCGGTTTTTAGCACAATTCAATCGGCTGAAATTAAGGCTATTTTCCCTGAAAATGTGCCGAATCCCGACCCCTCATCACTATAGAAAAGAACAATTACAATTATAAACCTTTATTGATCATCGGTTATGACTGAGAAGAGTTCTATCTGTATTGTCGTTAAAATAATTTCTAGGTAATCCCTTTGGCTTTATAATGTTCCATAGTCAATTCTTGCATCTCTTTTGCATCTATTCTTGCAAGAATTAGCGGTACTTGCTTATGTGTATTGAGCTGTTTTTGTTAGTAATGAACTTTTTATGATATGTGCTGATTGCTATTTTTCTATTAAAAGATTTCTATTGAACTCCGAAAAAAGTTACTTTGACAAATTGCGTAAACATTTCCTTAAAAATCTTCCCAAGCTCAACTCAACTTTTGTTATTTTCTGAAGACAACTGAATAAAGAGCTCATTAACTAATCTCTATGTATTATTTCTTCCGCAATTCAACAATTATGTTTAAAAGGGATGACTCGATTGTTTTCTTAATCACAAACACGGTTATGCTCACTTATAACATTGAAAAACACAGCACATTGATCACAGAACACTTTAAGTATTTAAAAAAAGACTAGGGCTAAAGCAAAGTTTGTAAAGCTGCAAAGGGTTAAGTAAAGGGTTTCAAAGTATAGCACGAGATGCCGAATGAAAGAGATATGGATGAATTCTTTTGAAATTCTTAATATTGCCCCGAAACACTACAGATCTACTAGAGATAATGGGAAAAATATAATCTCTTAAAGCGTTTTCCAAAACGTGCGTTTAGAAAAAGCTACCGTACTCAAACTAGTCTACACCTAAGTCACAGTACTCGAGCTATAGTACATCTGAGTACATCTGAGTACACCTTAATTTCTATACTCAAAGAAAAGCTGCAATGTTCCCGGTTACAATACTCCAAAAAAGTTAGAGTAGATTAAAATGAGTCTGTTTACTTTCACTTGTTCGACTTACAGAGGCTTATTTAGCAAGACAGTCAAGGGGATACGGTAGCTTTTCTAAGGCACTTTTTAGAAAACATTTTAATCAAAAAGACTGCTATCAGAAAAGACCTAAGAAAATAACTGATCGAGATTCATTTGGGCGGTCGAGTTGCTTGGTGGAGCGGTCGCATGTTGAGCGGGTGGTGATGAGAAAGCGGGAAATGAATCTGGAAATGGAAATTTTGCAAGAAATTGAATTTTTGACTTAACAATTGGTATAGAGTTTCATTTGTTCTTGGAATCTACAAAATCTTGGAACAAACAAGTTTTGCAATGATTTATATTTGAGTTAACAAAAGATTTCTAGTCTTAATCTAGTGCTGAATAGCAAATACGAACAAAAATGAGTATAATAACTGTTAAAGTACGTTAAACTTACATACATTAGAATGTATTGATTGCAAACCAACAACACTAGCCTAATTGCTTTTTAAACTAGGTGTACTAATCCAATTTCTTTAACATTTACTGATAGTGTGAGGAATCAAGTAAAAAAATTTGATTATTGTACTTCAACTTACCCATTGAGTTATTCGGTGTGGCGAATGGAGAATGGAGGCGAATGGAGTTCTGTGATCAATGTGATGTGTTTTTCAATGTTATAAGTGAGCATAACCGTGTTTGTGATTAAGAAAACAATCGAGTCATTCCTTTTAAACATAATTGTTGAATTGTGGAAGAAATAATACATACAGATTAGTTAATGAGCTCTTTATTCAGTTGTTTTCAGAAAATAACAAAAGTTGAGTTGAGCTTGGGAATATTTTTGAGTCGCTAGAGACCATAAGGAAGTGTTTACGCAATTTGTCAAAGTAACTTTTTCGGAGTTCAATAGAAAGCTTTTAATAGAAAGATAGCAATCAGCACATATCATAAAAAGTTCATTACTAACAAAAACAGCTCAATACACACAAGCAAGTACCGCTAGTTCTTGCAAGAATATTGGATTGACTATGAAACATTATAAAGCCAAAGGGATTACCTAGAAATTGTTTTAACGACAATACAGATAGAATTCTTCTCAGTCATAACCGATGATCAATAAAGGTTTATAATTGTAATTGTTTTTTTCTATAGTGATGAGGGGTCAGGATTCGGCACATTTTCAGGGAAAATTTGCTCAGCCGATTGAATTGTGCTAAAAACCGGGTCAAAAACAGCCGAAAAACCTTTTTCCCATAAATAATTGGGCACTGGTGAATAGTCAACGGGCTCAGGTTTGGGTTCAGTCTTGGATTCAGCTCTTTCCCTTTTTTCCTTTTTCACTTGGTTTTGGCTAAAAACTGGCTCATTGCACTTTCTACATCCTGATTGCTGTTTTCTTTCGCGGAGAAAAACACTCCGCGGTAGGAGATGTTCATCGACAAAAGTTCGCCGAATATGGCAGGAAAGAAATAAACCGATTTGGCATACAAAGCATCAAATAAAACCAAAATAAGAGTTATCGGTAAAAAAAATTTCACTTGGAAACGGTCTCGATTGTCACCCCCCCCTCCCCTTTAAAGAAATGGGCTCGATTGACGAGAATTGTGAATAGAAGAAGGGAATTCTCAACAATTCCACCGATCGACAAAGCGATCAACCAAAAGGCCTAAAACATTCGATACGAGTCGGTGACATCGAGAAATGGAAGAAAAGAACACGAGTCGTTTAGAAGCATACTCAAATGAGAGGAGTGTTGTGTTCCAGCGATTGAAGCGAAACGGTCAAAAATTCCGGAAAGCTAAATACACTTTGTGATTTTACCCGCAAATTTCTATGGGAATTTTTGTCTTGTTGCTTAATTCGACTTTCTAGAGAATGATTAAAAAGTCACATGACTGTGCACGGACAAGACTACATTAAAACCCTGAAATCTAATCTTTGATGCTTATTGATGAATTAAAAGAAGAAAATGAAGAGAATACTCCGAGTGTTATATATTATTTGAAAGCTCTTAATGAATTCTATAAAATAGAAGCTAAGTCAACAATTTGTGCCTTTAAAAAAGCTTAAAAATGCTATGAAATGGTGATTCATTCAAAATAAGCTTTTTTTTTACAGCTCCTTTGGCTTTTTATTTTTCTCTTCTGCCACAGATAAGACAAGCTTTCCATCCCGCTAAATTGCTGTTCAGAAGGAAATTTCTGAATGCTGAAAAATTCTATTTTGAGCAGAAAAGAAAAGCATTCATATTTTCTGTTCCCATCGAAATGCCGACCGTGCCCCAAGCAGTGAAACGCTACACAATCCGATTCATTTCGTTAACGTTTTTATTGTTGAGCATAACGTACTTTGCTTTTCTAAATGGATTTTATGGAAACGTCAGGATTTTCGAACTTTCGGAGTATTGTGGATTCGTTTTTTCGACATCATCTCTTCTGCCATGTTTCTATTTGGGATTGGACGACGAGCCGAAGAATTTGCTTCGTTTGTTTAAAGTTTATGATTATATGCAGGGAAAAAATACGTGCCAAATTCTTAATGACTATATGATATTAGTTTTTTTGCTTTTTTTTCAGTTTCTCAACATCTTTTTTTAGGAATCCTCACAATGGGGCTTTTCGTTCATTTGCGTTTCATTGACTTTCTCGCATGGTATCAAATTTTCGCATTATTTCGCATAATGGCCTGGATTAGCGTTTTCTTTCGGTTATGCCAGGCAATTATTCCGAAATCATTTACAGTTTCAAAAGTAAAACATTTCGTAGAGTAAAGTCTATTTTTTTTGTAGATTCCCACGCCAATTCTCTACTCGAGTTTCATTATCGCGGCATTGGTGGAGCCCGTTTTGATTTCATTCTTTCAGTTTGATTTTGACGCACGAAACGGAATGGTTTTGGGTAAAAAGACACTATCTGTGTGGCATTAAATACAATTAGTGACGGCCTTTTGAGCGGTGAATATGCCAATGGGGTTGAGCTGTACTCTTTTGTATGGTTTCAGGCTTTACGCTCGGTGTCATCAGTCTCTCTGTCGCATTTCCGTTATCTTTAGACGTCGAAGAAGAAAGTAAACTTAAATGATTCTATTATCACAACATTTAAGCAATTATTGGGTTGATGCATAATTATGGAACGTTTTTATTAACGCGTTTTTCTTTAGTAAAAATTGGCGTTTTGTTTATTTTATTTTCATAAAAATAATCCTCAATATTTAGTTAAAAAAATGCGTCTCGAAAATCACACTCATATTCGCCATATTATGCTCTACCACTACGAGAAAGAATGGACCGCAGCCCAGTCATTTCGCGATCTCAACGAACTGTCTCCACATGTTGAGCGCCGTGTAATCGAATTCATCGCCAATAAGGGATGGGATCTGCTCCCACATCCGCCGTACTCACCGACAGAAGCACCAACGGACTATCATGTCAACCGCTCTTTGAAAAACTGGCAAACAAACAAAGTCTACGACGACTTGGATGACTTGGTGGCTGATGTCAAAGCGTGGATTGCCTCCAAGAATCGTGACTTCTTCGCACGTGGAATCGACCGACTGCCAAGCAAATGGGAAGCAGTTCTTGAAGTGGATGGTGACTATGCTCTCGAATGATCATTTAAACATGTTTTGATTAAATATTGTTATTGTTTTTGTTGAATATTTTTGAATATTTTTAAAAACGTTCCATAATTATGCATCAACCCAATATTTTTTTTGATTTTGTAAGTATTTATTTTCAATAATAAAAATAAATAAGAAGATTTTGCAAGAAACTAGAAAAAGCTTAAAATACAGGGTGACCGCGAATTATAGCGACTCATAAATTTTAGGCAAGCTAACCCAATAGACATCGAATTCACGAAATATCATTTGAATAACTTAATTTGATTAACTTATTTGAACGATAACAATAACAAATTAACAAGGAAACTCAAACTTTTCGCCATTAGCTTTGATACATGCTTGAAGTTTGATACTCGCTTCGGGAACACGTCAACCGTGGCGAGCAAGTAGGCAACATCTAAGGAATCCCATGCTTTCAAAAGCGCCTTTTTGAGACTTTCGAGGTTTTATGAGGTTTTGAACAGGCTGTTGCCTCAAGAACACTCCAAACAGAATAATCTAACGGATTTAGATCAGGCGAGCTTGCTGGTCATTTCGAAAAGGTGATGAAGTCGGGGAAATTTTTGGTGCAAAACTCCTGGACTTCCTTGGCCTTGTGAGCTGGTGCACTATCTTATTGATACGTCCAAATAGTGTTGGGAAAGTGTTGTTTACCCCAAGGAACAATATGCTTCTTTAGCAGCTCAAGATAGTTTTTGGCATTCACTTTTACGCCCTGCTGAACAAAGATTAAAGGAATGTTTTCATTGGCACAGATACCTCCGAAAACCATTACCGATGCTGGATGAGAACTGCGGGACACTGTTGCATTTGGTTGAGATTTGGCCCAAACTCGATCGTTTTGCTTGTTTAATACCCCTTCAACAGTGATAATCTTTTCGTCTGTAAAAAGAATGTTATGGTGATCGATACCATTGAATCGTTGCAGCAAGTCAGCACATCGGTCTTTACGCTTGTTCACAGAAGCTGCTGAGAGACGATCACACATCTTCTTGATATTAGCTGGTGTGGCTACAGTTGGTGAACCTCTTCCTGGATGACCGGATGTAGTCCTCAGTTCCTCATAGCGTGCGATTGTTCGATAGACTACACTCTTGTGAACCTTCAGGTGCCTCCAGATCTCGTGCGCCGAAACCTTCTTTCGATAAAGCGCGATGATGGATTGCCGGTGTGGTGGAGCCTTCACCATTCCTGAAAATAGCTAGAGTATTACATAAAAGACAAATATTTCATATAAACACAAAAAAAGCACAGAAAAAAATTTAACAGAATACCTAGAAACTTGATTACACATGCGCTAAATGTTGTATACTGGAGTCGTTATAATTCGCGGTCACCCTGTAGATACATAAATCGGTATTCTTTTTTCGGTATCCACATTTAATTTGCAACAAAGTTTTTTTTAATGCAACTAATTAGTTTTTACGAAAATGAAATCGATCTTCGAACATCTCTGGAAGTTCATCTTTATACCAATATTTGCTGTTTCATGGAATCTCTTTGGAGATTCATCGTCATCGTCCCTTCAAATGAGCTTTGCTCAAGTAGGTTTCTTATTCCGTGAAAAAGTTTCTTTCTAAAGTTTCAGCTCTCCGTTTCAATGTTAATCTACTTTCTTTGGCTAGACGAATGGATGGTGTGGCTTCAAATTCAGTTAAGAGACGCACGGATAAATGCGACCGTTCCCGAAATTCCCTTTAAAGCTGTTGAAAATTGTGTATGCCCTAGAAATCTATTGGGAAGTGGCGCCTATGCTAACGTCTATCGTGTTGACACCATGAACCAGGAACAGTTAGTTTTAGTGCACAGCGATATTTTGAAGTAAAATTAATGTTTAAAAAACAATTTGTTTTTAGCCCTATGGTTTTGAAGCTTTTGCGAGTCGGTGAAGATCAATCGATCGAAGACATCGAAAGAAATATTGAAAATGAGATCAAGCTGAGAAAGATGAAACACCGGCTTCTCGTGAAATATTTGGGATGTGTGAAGAAAAACAATAATGGAGTATTGCAATCTGTTGGGATTTTGATGAAGTTCGTCGAGAGAAAATCCTTAAAAGAATGTGAGTTCTCGTCGCCGAGCCATCGACTATATGAAGCAAGAATTTTAGTGATTTTCTCATCAAAATACAGCTATTCGATGTACACAGTCGCATGTTGGATGGAACAGCTTTTTTCAGCCCTAACTTATTTGCAAAAACAGCAAATCATCCATAGAGATATCAAGCCCGACAAGTGGGAGCACAATTGACTGCGATTTTTCGACACCTCTTTCTTTTAGCATTCTGGTGGACGATTTTTACTATTTGATCTTGGCTGATTTCGGAAACGCCAAACTCGATGTGGATCTTGGAACTGATGGCGACATTTCTGGTTCTTACGTGGGCACTTATAGATATAAGTCCCCGGAAGCGAGCCCAAACTTTGCTGACGGAGGGCAACGGGTAACAAAATTTTTGATTGCTATAAAAATAGAGCTGCAATCGAAATCAAAACAAATACTTTGACAGATGAGCTATCGAAGCGATGTGTACTCGACTGGAATCGTTATTTGGGAAATGATTGAAAGAAGGTCAATTTCATTTTATAATCCTTATTATATGAATTTAAGGAAAATTTTTATGATGAAATATGTGTATAAACAAGAGGAGGAAGAAGAAAGGAGGAAGGAAGAAGGAGGAGGAGGAAGGAAAGAGGAGGAGGAGGAAGAAGGAAAGAAGGAGGAGGAGGAAGAAGGAAGAAGGAAGAAGGAGGAAGAAAAACAACGATTTGATCAAATGGCGTTTTATGATGATATGCGCTCCTCAAAAAATGCTCTCGATCTCGATCCCCTCGACGCTCCTCAAAACTTTATTGAGCTTGTTATTTGGTATGTTTCTTTTTGAGAAGGGTTGAGATCTCAAACAAAAAAGTGAAAATGTTTTGGTCAGTATAGCAGAGTCATAAATCGAATACATATAGGGTAGAGAAAGGGTTTCTGTTTTTTTACACACTCTTCTCTAGCAAAAAGCCGGGCTGCATTCAGTCACGGGGCACAACGGGTACAGACAAAGCAAAAAAAAAATTCTTGCAGCGGAAAAATCTCTGATTTTGCGTAGCATTTGATCTCTGCAAGCGTGCCTTTTGTAGGTGTTGCTCTTGTGCTAGTTTCCTCATCGCACAACCTGTACAAAATTTGTTTTTTTTAAAATCAAAAATCTAAGCACTAAAAACTCTAAAATGATGGCCAACTAAGAGAAAAAACGCAAAAAGAATCGATTTCGACTTGCCAATTTTTTGTTGATAGGTCAAGAAATCTTGTCTTTTGACCTAATCAATTCTCCTAAGATACCCCGATTGCAATTATTCAAATTCCACTTTCCTAGACCAATTTTTTGTGTAAATTCCAAGAAAACTGCTTTCAGAACGATTTGACGACGGTATCACGATGAAAAGTCACTTTGAAAATTCAAAAGGTCTCAATTTTGGTGTTCAGAAGGGCAAAAATTCTGAATAAAATAGAAAACATATAGAAAAACTAATACCATTGCGTACGTCGTCAAATCGTTCTGAAAGCAGGTTTGATTTGAAGACAAACGTTTTTTTCAAACTACGTACTCGTTGTGCATCGTAGGACGTGCCATTACTTAAAAAAGTAACGTTATTCTTGAAGTAAAAATGAAAAAAAAGTCATTTCTGTTGACTTTGCTTTTTGACATGTTAAACCACGTTTATTTGTTTGGATTTTGAAGGAAACACAGTTGTAGCTCGCTTTAGCTGAAATAGAAGTTTGAAACTTAATATCTTTTTTCTAGTAGAGGGATTTTTAAGAAACTTTGTCTTTTTTTTAGCTGGAACACAACTTAAACTTTGTATTGTTTAGATTTTTCCGCTCCAAGAAAAATTTTTTGTGCCCGTTGTGCGGGGTGGCGCCGCGCAAACGCATCCATTTAAAAAAACAGCTTCAGCCCCCGTTCTTAGAATATTTTTTGACGTATATCCCCAAGTATTTAGCCAAAACAGAGACGGTCTGTGATAGACGGACAGACGGACTGACCTATTCTTTGATACAGAATAGATAAGTATTTTTTTAAGCTGTACTATTTTCAACATGAAAGCTCGTCTCAACGCGTCGGAGGCTCTCGATTACTCGACGACCATAAAAAAGGTGGGAAGTCATTTGAATTCTTGTTGATTTTCTGTATTTGCGTTTAGACCTATGAAACATCGGATGTTTTATGGGAGTTTTTTCCTAAGGAAACAAATCATGTCGAAAACTCACCAATTATAAAGCCAAAAGAGGTCATCAAAGAACATGACAGAAATATAACAACAGATCCCCATCGAGCCCCCAACAGCATCCCGTGTGTGAACGAACTGCAGAAAAAATTCAAAGATATTCAAGATCAAGTGGATAACACGAGAAGAGCAGCACAAAGTTTTCACCAAGAATTAGCAATCATGTTTGACGAACTCACAACGAATCCCACTTCACTAAACTTAGCGCATCTAGAAGAACTTGGCCGCCAAACGCAGGATATCTGGTTCGATTTTGGGAAGGCACAAATAAGTTTTTTCTACTTTCATTCGTTTGCCCTGGCGGAGATATCTTGCTATGCAAACTTGAAAAGCTCAGATATTCTCTCGGAAAATTTAAATGCTTTGGATAATTATTTGAAAAAATTACATCCTTTTTTGCAAAAAGCAATAACATCTTTAACAGAGACAAACCTTTGTATGCAAAGTTTGGAAGAAACGATAAAAAATTTACGGTCTATCAGCTCTTCTTTGAATCATCCTTCAAGGCAAATCAATGGAGATAAATCGTTAAAAAACCTCAAAGTCTATTTGAAGAATGTGATTGTTCCACTGAAGAGCTTCGAAACTGCTTTACAACAATTGAAAATTCTTTTGATAAATTTACGATCCCTATTGAAGGAATGTGATTCTAATTTGACTCTTTTAAATCTCAAATTGACCAATGAGATGAGTGTAGGCTTGCAAGTTTGTGAGTTTCAAGCGCCAAAAACGAATTACATGAAGGTTCTCTGGAAACTTTGCACGAATTGGCGTTTATGGAAAATATTCACGCGTGGGTGCGTGGGTTTGCTAATAAATCTCATTTTTGCCTTTAGATGGATTTTTCTCTATTTTATCTTCTACTGTTTATTTCGTGCAAAAGTCTTTAGTGGAATATTTCCTTTCCTTTCCTAACTAGTGAGTTTCATAAATATTTTTTTCCAAATAATCATAATATTTTATTCAAACGATAAAGTGAAAGAAATCATAGAGAAATGCACAGTGATACTTAATCATACAATACAAACTGAAATCAATTAGCCAATTACTTACGGGAAAGAGCCACTAGATCTAGAGCATCGATACGTTTCTTGAATATGAAAAGTGACTGAATTTCTCGTATGTCGTTTGGGAGCAAGTTCCATAATCTAGCGGCTCTAACGGGAAATGAATTTGATAAAGAGGCATTGGATGCAAAGGGAATTTGCAAAAGGAATGAGCCACTTCTAGACCCTGACCGCGGTTTAAATTTGAAAAAGTCTATAAACAAAGGGCTAATCTGTTTATAACGGAGGATTTTGAAAGTTTCGACTAAATCAATGACAAAGCGACGATGTTGTAGAGTTTTAAGTTCAAAAAAAGCAAGTCTCTCCTCATAAGTTAAGCTAGAATATTTAGAATAGTCAATTTTCCATAAAGCGACTTTTGTGAACCTCCTCTGAATTTTCTCCAAGCGTTCAATAAAGACTTGTGCGCGGGGAGACCAAACAATAGAAGCATATTCTAAGATGGGCCGGATATAAGTCGTCAAGCATTTGCGGTAAGAGTTTAGGTTAGGATGAACAATTGATTTGAGAATACGGCTTTTTTTCTATTGATAAATTGGACAATGAAATACAGTCAAAGCTCGATAGTAAATCACTTCTGTAAACTCCCGACAAAACGCTTAAGAAAATACAAGGGCAAAAAGCTCGACAGTAAATCACCCGATAGTAAATCACGCTCGATAGTAAATCATTGATTTTTAAGCAAAATTTTGCCTTTGTATTAGGTCTTAGAATTATAAATGTCGCCTCAAAGTCAAGAACAAACTTTATGTTAAAACTTGTAAGTGAACTTGATAACAAACAATCCAATGTATTCTCCATCATTATTGATTACTTCTTCCCATTTTAGCAGCAGAGAAAAAATTTCATGATGATAAGTTTTGAGAGTCTGACTCAAATTTCGACTTCTTCATACTTTACAAACGAATTTTCCGTGAGAGCATTTTGCATCGGTTGAAATAAGTGGTTTTCTGAAGGAGTCATATCAGGACTGTAAGGTGCGCCAGGTAGTAGTTTCCATTGAAGCTCGTCGACGGTTTCCAGCACTCTCTTTGCAACATGTGATGTTGCGTTGTTGTGCATGTATTTGAGCTGGCTGTTTTCCTATTTCCTTCAAATGATTTCTAATTGTAGTAAGATGACAATCAAATTTTGTAGCCGATTCGAGAAGAGTTTGACGGGAGACAGCCTCAATTTTGGCTTTGAGAACCTCGTTATCAATAATAACGCGGGTCGTCGTTGATGTGGCTCATCTTGGTGATCCTCATTTCCTTCTCCAAACTTCTTGAACCATCTTTCGCATAATCGAAGGCTTATTGAACATATCCAAAAGCTTTCAGAAATTGTCACTTGGATTCGGCTGGGAAAAGTTCGTTCTTAATGTTGTATAGCAAGCAAACGCGCATGTGGCTTTTTGATTGTGTCATCTTTTAAAAAAGTTTTCAGTTTACACGAAAAAGTAAAAATCACGAAAACAATAAAAAAAGTAAGAGGATATATAAGAACGTAAATACTTCTCTTAACTCTCTTAATCTCTTAACTGAATTTGAAGCCACACCATCCATTCGTCTAGCCAAAGAAAGTAGATTAACATTGAAACGGTAAGCGAGAGCTGAAACTTTAGAAAGAAACTTTTTCACGGAATAAGAAACCTACTTGAGCAACGCTCATTTGAAGGGACGATGACGATGAATCTCCAAAGAGATTCCATGAAACAGCAAATATTGGTATCAAGATGAACTTCCAGAGATGTTCGAAGATCGATTTCATTTTCGTAAAAACTAATTAGTTGCATTAAAAAAAACTTTGTTGCAAATTAAATGTGGATACCGAAAAAAGAATACCGATTTATGTATCTACAGGGTGACCGCGAATTATAACGACTCCAGTATACAACATTTAGCGCATGTGTAATCAAGTTTCTAGGTATTCTGTTAAATTTTTTTCTGTGCTTTTTTTGTGTTTATATGAAATATTTGTCTTTTATGTAATACTCTAGCTATTTTCAGGAATGGTGAAGGCTCCACCACACCGGCAATCCATCATCGCGCTTTATCGAAAGAAGGTTTCGGCGCACGAGATCTGGAGGCACCTGAAGGTTCACAAGAGTGTAGTCTATTGAACAATCGCACGCTATGAGGAACTGAGGACTACATCCGGTCATCCAGGAAGAGGTTCACCAACTGTAGCCACACCAGCTAATAACAAGAAGATGTGTGATCGTCTCTCAGCAGCTTCTGTGAACAAGCGTAAAGACCGATGTGCTGACTTGCTGCAACGATTCAATGGTATCGATCACCATAACATTCTTTTTACAGACGAAAAGATTATCACTGTTGAAGGGGTATTAAACAAGCAAAACGATCGAGTTTGGGCCAAATCTCAACCAAATGCAACAGTGTCCCGCAGTTCTCATCCAGCATCGGTAATGGTTTTCGGAGGTATCTGTGCCAATGAAAACATTCCTTTAATCTTTGTTCAGCAGGGCGTAAAAGTGAATGCCAAGAACTATCTTAAGCTGCTAAAGAAGCATATTGTTCCTTGGGGTAAACAACACTTTCCCAACACTATTTGGACGTATCAATAAGATAGTGCACCAGCTCACAAGGCCAAGGAAGTCCAGGAGTTTTGCACCAAAAATTTCCCCGACTTCATCACCTTTTCGAAAAGACCAGCAAGCTCGCCTGATCTAAATCCGTTAGATTATTCTGTTTGGAGTGTTCTTGAGGCAACAGCCTGTTCAAAACCTCATAAAACCTCGAAAGTCTCAAAAAGGCGCTTTTGAAAGCATGGGATTCCTTAGATGTTGCCTACTTGCTCGCCACGGTTGACGTGTTCCCGAAGCGAGTATCAAACTTCAAGCATGTATCAAAGCTAATGGCGAAAAGTTTGAGTTTCCTTGTTAATTTGTTATTGTTATCGTTCAAATAAGTTAATCAAATTAAGTTATTCAAATGATATTTGGTGAATTCGATGTCTATTGGGTTAGCTTGCCTAAAATTTATGAGTCGCTATAATTCGCGGTCACCCTGTATTTTCTTTTTCTAGTTTCTTGCAAAATCTTCTTACTTATTTTTATTATTGAAAATAAATACCTACAAAATCAAAAAAAATATTGGGTTGATGCATAATTATGGAACGTTTTTAAAAATATTCAAAAATATTCAACAAAAACAATAACAATATTTAATCAAAACATGTTTAAATGATCATTCGAGAGCATAGTCACCATCCACTTCAAGAACTGCTTCCCATTTGCTTGGCAGTCGGTCGATTCCACGTGCGAAGAAGTCACGATTCTTGGAGGCAATCCACGCTTTGACATCAGCCACCAAGTCATCCAAGTCGTCGTAGACTTTGTTTGTTTGCCAGTTTTTCAAAGAGCGGTTGACATGATAGTCCGTTGGTGCTTCTGTCGGTGAGTACGGCGGATGTGGGAGCAGATCCCATCCCTTATTGGCGATGAATTCGATTACACGGCGCTCAACATGTGGAGACAGTTCGTTGAGATCGCGAAATGACTGGGCTGCGGTCCATTCTTTCTCGTAGTGGTAGAGCATAATATGGCGAATATGAGTGTGATTTTCGAGACGCATTTTTTTAACTAAATATTGAGGATTATTTTTATCTACGGAATGTTTTACTTTTGAAACTGTAAATGATTTCGGAATAATTAACCGAAAGAAAACGCTAATCCAGGCCATTATGCGAAATAATGCGAAAATTTGATGCCATGCGAGAAAATCAATGAAAGGCAAATGAACGAAAGCCCCATTGTGAGGATTCCTAAAAAAAGATGTTGAGAAACTGAAAAAAAAGCAAAAAAACTAAGATCATATAGTCATTAACAATTTGGCACGTATTTTTTCCCTGCATATAATCATAAACTTTAAACAAACGAAGCAAATTCTTCGGCTCGTCGTCCAATCCCAAATAGAAACATGGCAGAAGAGATGATGTCGAAAAAACGAATCCACAAATCTCCGAAAGTTCGAAAATCGTGACGTTTCCATAAAATCCATTTAGAAAAGCAAAGTACGTTATGCTCAACAATAAAAACGTTAACGAAATGAATCGGATTGTGTAGCGTTTCACTGCTTGGGGCACAGTCGGCATTTCGATGGGAACAGAAAATATGAATGCTTTTCTTTTCTGCTCAAAATAGAATTTTTCAGCATTCAGAAATTTCCTTCTGAACAGCAATTTAGCGGGATGGAAAGCTTGTCTTATCTGTGGCAGAAGAGAAAAATAAAAAGCCAAAGGAGCTGCAAAAAAAAAGCTTATTTTGAATGAATCACCATTTCATAGCATTTTTAAGCTTTTTTTAAAGGCACAAATTGTTGACTTAGCTTCTATTTTATAGAATTCATTAAGAGCTTTCAAATAATATATAACACTCGGAGTATTCTCTTCATTTTCTTCTTTTAATTCATCAATAAGCATCAGAGATCTGAGTTGACTGATCTTGGATTAAGTAAAAAACCAAGTGAAAAAGGAAAAAAGGGAAAGAGCTGAATCCAAGACTGAACCCAAACCTGAGCCCGTTG